CTGAGGATCCAGAAATTAGTGGAGACTGTGGTGAGCAGAGGGAGCCCAGAGGGGTGGCCTGTAGGCTGGGCTTGGAATCGATTCATTCTGTTAATAAACGCTTACAGAGTAGCAGCTGTCTGCCAGGGCACCTCACCTACCTGTGTTCATTTAAGTCTTCTAACAGCCTGTGCGGGTGGATAGGGGTGGTTGGGCCCTGCTCAGTTCCTCAGTCCCCTTGCTTGTGAAATGAGTTTGGGGGTGAGCTCAGTACTTTACACCTTCGAGGGTTAAAAGGGCCTTTCCTCCCTCTGGCTATTCCTTCACAACAAGCTGGTAGTCAGTGTGACAGAGGAGGCTTAGAGTGTGTCCAATGTCACAGAGCAAGCAGAGGCCAAGGTAGAACAAGAAGATGAGCTCTCAAACTCCCAGGCCTTTGTCCTCCCCCTGCACCACCCTGCCCCTGAGTCCAGTTGCCTCAGCCCCTTCAAATCAAGGTCTGCTTCCTCCAGGTCACCCCAGTACTGCCTCTGCCATGGGGCTGGCCTCAGGCCACATCATCTCCTCTGGTCATACTAATAACTCTGCATCCTGGTGACGAGGAGGCTGAGTTCTCAGGGGTATCACCTCTATCCCCACAAACCTATCGCATCACTCTCAGTGAGATCTAGGCCTATATGTGGAAGGAGCAGTGACCGGTAAATGAGGGGATGAGAGATCTGATGTCATGTAGTAGGTGCTCAATAAATGCTTGTGGAGAAAAGAAAAAGAGGGAAGGCAGGAGAAGGTGATGAATAAGTTTGTGTGTAAGTGGAGAGCCGCATAGCGGGAGGGATGTGTGGGTGAATGAGCTGTTGAATAAATGAAGAAAGGAGGGGTGGGTGGAGGAGCAAGAGGCCAGAAAAAATGGTTCTGAGTTACAGCTAAAGGAGGAGCTAAGAGCTGTCTAATCACCAGCATGCCCATTGGAAAGATGAGGAGACAGAGAGGACTGAAGAGAAAAGAAGTTGCTGCATCTGCGGGGCTGATATTTGTTCTACAGTCCTCAGTCTTTCCCCATTTCTCACTCTCTCTCCTTGTTACCCTCTTTCCTCTCCGGGCAGGCGTGGGTGGTAGGGAGGGCTGGTGTTCCGGGAAGGAGACCTTTTCTTCACATCCTTGCCCCTCTAGGCCCAGTTTCCGCCTGCACTTGGTGTTGGGGGTGGTTGGAAGGGTTGGCCCTGCAGGGACTATATTAGTCAGAGACAGCCCTGCCAGGAAACAGAGAAAGCTGCCAGCCCTGTTGGAGGTGTTCTAACCTGGGCTGAGGACAGGAGAGTGGGGAGCCTCAGGTCTGGTCTCCCCCATACCCCCTGAGCACTTGGGCCACCAAGGTGCTTCCAGGAACAGGAATATACATGTGAGTGTTGGTGTGTCTTGGGGCCTTGGACCAGTGTGGGGTGAGTAGGGCAGAAATAGACACAAGAAATTGGGCAGATTGGGCCCAGTGCTAAATTCAAGGAGATTCGTGTATTTGGGGCGAGGGCAGGGACAGAGGAAGGAACTCCACCCAGAAGTGGGGGTTGGAAAGGGAAGGAGGGAGATTGGGTCTGGAACTTGATGGCCACTTGGGGTTTGACAAACAGAGATGGCTTGAACAGCACTCTGTGAAGGGGTTAGCGGTGTGGGGAGGGAGAGAGGAAGTTCAAATCTCTGGTCACGACTGGCTATTGGCAGCCTCCATGTCTTGGAAACTGTGGCAAGAAAGGAAGGAACAGAGTGGAGGGATCCCAGAGACGTCCAGTGAGGCTGGAGGGCTTGGTCTTGAATGTCAGGACACAGGGTTGAGCTCTTCCCCAAAACCAGAAGGATGCAGGGAAGCCACATCTGAAAGGCTCCCACTGTGAACACAACAGCTGGCCCAAGGCTTAGGTTTAGTCTTCCCCTCATGCCTAATGGTGACAGATGTGAGGGCTTGAGAGAGCCAGTGTCAGAAGCTGTCCAGAGGCAGGGGCCCAGTGTGCCCTCCCTGGGGACCAATTTGCATGGAGCTGGGAGAACAGTGCTCTGCCCCTAGGTCTCAGAAAGCAGAGTGGGTGAGGGAACCAGGGCGACAGCCAGGCCTACCTGTCCGGGAGCCCACCTAAGGCCCCCAGGGGCCCTCACACTCCTGTCCACCCATGGAAATCCTCCTCAGCCTCCATGATTTTGCTCCATCCATCCTCTTCTGAAAAGTCTTTTCTGCTCACACTAGTCTCCCCCATTGGACTAGTTTGTATATGTTCATGGACACATCTGTCTCATCTGTCTCCTGAGCCCTCATGGATCCAGGAGGTAACAAATACTTATTAAATGCTTGGTATGTTAAAATAAGAAAATAAATGCATGGATGAAAGAATGGCCTGAACCAATGAATGAAGCAATGAATGAATGAATGAACAATTGTTCTGCCTATACTAATCTTGGCTTCCTGGCTACAGCAGGGACACTGCCATGCCCCTTCCACTGGCCTTTCCCTCACACCTAATGGTTAGCTGGGCGTCCAGAACTGCACAAGGACTGGCACCCACCAAGAGTCTTTGACAGCCCCATTTTATGCAAGACTAGAGAATACAAATGTCATTTTCCAGTTACCCAGAATCTGGTAATGTATTTTCATCAAAATCATATTTTAGAGAGACACTAGTGTGGGGGGTTATGTTTTGCTCTAATGTCACTCTTTATAATCTCATGCCTTTTCTTAGCAGATTTTTCACATTAAGAACAGCTAAGTTGCTCTGTGCCAGGCACTGATCCTCACAACCTTATTAGGCAGGTCCTGTTTTACCCATTTTATAAAAGGGGAAACTGAGGCAGAAGTTCAGTCATAAGCCTAAGGCCACAGAGCTCACATGTGACAGATCTGAACCTGTACCGGAGCCCTTATTTTCAGCCTCGAACGTCTGTTACCCTCTAAGGATGTTTGCAAAATTTCATACATTTTTCTGGGCTTCAATTTCTTTATTTGTAACGTGAGGAGGGGGAAGGATTCCACTTACTCTTTTAAAGGCTTTGCCTTACAGATCCACTGGCTTTAAGTTGTGAATTCTCTCTAGAAACTAGCAAATGTGGAAATTCCAGTTTGGAAGTGGATGTCCAAAAGATAGACTTACTCCATCAAAGATACTCTCATGGCATTTGTGCTGATGACTCCTCAAAAGCTAGTCTGAAGGGAGAAGTGGAGGGACAAGGTACAGTATACAATAACATGACATGACATATATTAAGTGCCTACTGCATGTCATGTTTATGACACATTTTACTGATAAATACATAGACCCTGAAAAGGTGCGTGAGATTTGAACCTGCTTTCTCAGTTTTGAAGCTGGATCCAGTTTCTGGATATGTGAGGAAGAGACTTTGACATTTACATTCCACTCCGTGAGCTACAATAAGTTACCTTCTCTGAGTGGGGCAGTTAAATTCTGGTTTTGACTGCTTCTAAATCAAGTAGGATGACTCGCTCCTTTCCTCAGCCATTTGCCGTCAAGGAAGCAGTTTTCACTCTAGCCACCAGGGGGCACTATGGGCTCAGTGGTTCTGCCAGATGCGTCTTTGTAGCCTCAAGTCAAACAAGTAAAGGCTTCAAAAAGTGGAATCCTTTTTCTTGTTTTAAGATTTATTTATTTATGCATACAGAACTAGGGTACAGGCCAGAAGTGCAGGGGTGGTGAGAGACAGAGACAGTGGGGGGCAGAACAGGCAGATTGAAGAAATACAGTGCTAAGGGGAGCAGCTGGTGGAACAAGAAAGGTCTGCGGTGCCATGTGGGTCATCTCCCTGGCCCTGGATGGAATCTAAGCCAAGGAGATGTTTGACCAGCTCCCAGTGTGTGAACATTTTGTTCATGTTATTAAGCGTTATCAGTGTCCTCCTACACTGGCCTCCCAGCTGGGCTCTTAGGGAAGCATCAGACCTCACTCTTCTCAAAAGCTTCTGGATATGTGGGGAAGAGAAAGGCCTACCCTAACTACAAGCCCCAAGCACCAAGGAAAGTAGGGAAAGCCCTGCATAGCATGATTCCTCTAACCTTATAGCATCCTGACAAGTTAGTGTACCATTCCCCCATTTTTCAGATGGCAAAACAGAGACTCAGATAAGGTATCTCAACTAGCCCAAAGTCACACAGCTAGTAAATAACAGAGCTGGGATTAAGCCCAAGTCTATCCTCAGTCTCCATCAATGGAGAAGACATTTAACTATGTATTTTTTTATCTTTTTTATTATTATTATTATTTTATTTTTTAATATAAGTGTTTTTTTCAGCATAATTTTGAGCCTTTTCCCATCTCAGTTGTAATCCCCATGGACTTCCCATCACTGCTTCACCCGTGTGCCATCATCATAGTCCAGTGCACTCCTCCCACCCCATTTTTGATCCCATTCCTCACTCCACCCCCGCAAAATATCTCTGGTATGTAGTTGTTCATTATTACTTTCCCCCCTGGTCCTTTATGCTCCTGCTTTGAGTGAAACCATCCGGTATTTTCCTTTTTCTTTCTGGCTTATTTCACTAAGCATGATCCCTTCCAGCTCCATCCATGTTGCTGCAAAAGACATGTGTTTATCTTTTTTGATTGCTGAGTAATATTCCATTGTGTACATGTACCACGTCTTTTTAATCCAGTCATCCACTTTTGGGCATTTGGGCTGTTTCCATGTCTTTCCAATTGTAAATAAAGCAGCAATAAACATGGGGGTGCAGGTGTCTTTTTGAGCAGTGTTTTTGTGCATTTGACTATGGTTTTGAAGGATGAATAGAAGTTCACCAAGAAGGCTGGGAGGAATTATAGACAGAAGATGAATTGCATTTCTGCCATCCTTGAATTTTATTAAATTCCAGGTTCTCTTGATGTGAGGGCTGCGTGGTCTTCCACGGATGGTGAATATCAGAAACAGTTCTGGTGAGGAGACCAAAGAGGAACAGGGGCTTAACTGTTGGTCAGTGGGTGTGGTCACTTATAACTTATGTGTTCTTCCCCAGTCTCTTCTGGTCTAGGAAGCCTAGATGGGAAGCCATGGTGTGGAACAATAAAACAGCCCCGGTCCTGGGCTCAGCACCTACCCACTGCGTCTTCCAAGAGAACTTCAAGCATCTGCTGCTGCCACCGGTGTACTCAGTAGTGCTCGTGGCAGGCCTCCCACTGAATGCCTGTGTCATCGTCCAGATTGTCATGTCCCGGCGGGCTCTGACCCGCACAGCTGTGTACACGCTGAACCTGGCTCTGGCTGACCTGCTGTACACCTGCTCCCTGCCCCTGCTCATCTACAACTATGCCAGAGCTGACGACTGGCCCTTTGGTGACTTAACCTGCCGCCTGGTTCGCTTCCTGTTCTATGTCAACCTCCACGGCAGCATCCTCTTCCTCACCTGCATCAGCTTCCAACGCTACCTGGGCATCTGCTACCCTCTAGCCCTCTGGCATAAGCGTGGGGGCCGCCGGGCTGCCTGGCTAGTGTGCGGGGTTGTGTGGCTGGTGGTGACCACCCTGTGCCTGCCCACAGCTGTCTTTGCCACCACAGGCAGTCAGCGCAACCGCACCGTCTGCTATGACCTGAGCCCACCTCACCTGGCCTCCCAATACATGCCCTATGGCATGGCCCTCACAGTCATTGGCTTCCTGCTGCCCTTTATTGCCCTGCTGGCCTGCTACTGGCGTCTGGCCCGCCACTTGTGCCTGCAGGATGGCCCAGCAGAGCCCGTGGCCCAGGAGCGACGCAGCAAGGCGGCCCGCATGGCTGTGATGGTGGCGGCCGTCTTCGTCATCAGCTTCCTGCCTTTCCATATCACCAAGACAGCCTACTTGGGGGTGCGCTCGACACCCGATGTCCCCTGCTCCGTGCTGGAAGCCTTTGCAGCCGCCTACAAAGGCACGCGGCCCTTCGCCAGTTTCAACAGCGTATTGGATCCCATCCTCTTCTACTTCACCCAAAAGAAGTTTCGCCAGCGACCCAAGGAGCTGCTACAGAAACTCACGGCCAAATGGAAGCGGCAGGGCGGCTGAGCCCACTGTGGCAAGACGCTTGGGGCCTGGACTGTTTGCCTTTGTGACTGGGGTACCAGACACCCCACCAACCCCAAACCATGCAGAAAGCTTAACTCAGTTGGGCAAGGAGTAACGTGACCCATAGACCCCAAAGTTTCAGCAGTGATTTCTTGAGCCCTTTCTTTATACTAGCCTGTGGTCACAAAGACAGAAAAGTCCTGGACCTGGCTCCCCAGAGCTCTCTGTTGACCATGTTAAGCTGTTCACAAAAATATAGTGTGGCATGAACTGTAATTGAGTATACTGCATGCTTCGGACTCACCAATAAGAGAGTAGGAAAGATGGGAGGGGGAAGTGAGAACATCTGGGAGGACATCTGAGCTGGGTTTTGTGGGATGAGTATGAGCTCCGTACAGGTATGATGTTCCATTCATTCAGCAAATCTTCACTGATAGCTCATGCTTACATCTGGGTGGTTGCTGGGACCCCAGTAGCAGAAGTTCCCAGCCCAACCTCATGCAAACTCCCAACTACTGATATACAGACACCGACATGGCTGGGGGAAGAGATGCTTAAAGAACGCTCATGACCCAGTCTGAGGAGTCAGGAAAGGCTCTATGAAGAAGGGTCAGCTGAACCTGATGAGGGTTGGATGGAGGCTTTGCACAGAAGTACAGGCTGGGTCAGCCTTGAGCCGGGCTCTGCCTTGAGGCTGACAGCCAGAGAGCTGGTGTGGAGAGCATGTGGCCTTCTGTTTTAAAAAGCTGAGAAACTAGTTGTCCTGCAACCACCTCCTGCAACCTAGGTCAAGAGCAGGCTGGATGCTCCAGTTGGTGGGGGCTCAGCAGAAGAAAATACCAGGGAATGCATGTTCAAGGAGGTGGGACTTCAGTTGGGGAGGAACTCCAAAGTCAGAGAAGAGGAGATATCTCCTGGTAGAAGGCATGCTGTGTTCAAATTCTGGAGGTGGAGGTGTGCTAAGTCTATCTGGAAAGCAGCAGTGAGTTTCAATTAAGCCCTGAGAATTGCCTTTGTGGAAGGGGAGGTGAAATATGTAGCTTTCAGCTGCTCGTCTTCCCTGTGCACTTCTTCTCTCAGCCACACCTTGGAGGCTCCTCGTCTTCTCTGCTCTTTCTCCTCATCCTTCCTCCCACCTTTCCAGTCTTCACTCCTTCCTCTAAGGTCTCAGTTTCCTCCTGTAGAACAGTCTGGTCTGCACTTGCCTGCTGGAGTTCCACATGAGTCCATAAACAGAGCCAGTTATGGCAAAGAATCTTCCTTTTTTCTCCTTTTTACTTATCAAAATACCATTATTTTACATCCCTGATATTGTGTTGACAGTATGGGATTCCCCCCCTTAGGTGTAATCACTCTAGCATCTCCACCCCTGAAGCACCCATAGAGCTCCTTCCTAAAAGATAGAGGAGGGGGCAGAGCAGAGGGACAGAGCAAGGGGATGAGGTTGGAGAATAAAGGGCCTAGGTGTCGGGTCAGGGGTGCACTGGGAGCCACAATACTGACCGTGGTGACCATCTGCTGGACTCGGGGTTCCAGATACCATGTATTTGATACTGAGAACAACTCCTATTGTATAAGGGGACTCTGAGGCCCAGATATGGGGACGGATTTCCTAACCCAGATGCTAAAGCCCTCCCCCTGTGCCCCCTCTCCTTTCTTCATCTACCAAGTCCTAGTACCCAGTATCCTCTAGGATACTAGAGGATAAGTCCTAGTACCTAGTGCCTAGTATCCTCTAGGCAGCTGTGACAGACAGCTAAGTGCCAACTACAGTATCAGTGCTCTTTGGCCTGGGCACACATGCTCTTCTAGAATGAAAACTTCATTTCCCAGTCTCTCTTGAAGCTAGATGTGGCCAGATAACGTGTTACTGGCTACTGAAATGTAATCAGACTACCCTAAGGCAGTTTATTATGGGGAAAGCAGACTGTCTTTAAGAGATACGTGATTATCTTTGCATCCTCTCTTTTCTTGTTGCTTGCAAGAGGGTTTCACAGCTAAGAGCACCTTCTTAGACCAACAAGGGCACCCTCTTGTGGCTGGCAGAGCAGAAAGCTGGAAACAGCTTCCATCTCTGACCATTCCATCTTGGGGCTACCTAAATCTCAGCTTTTACATGAGAGAGGAAAAAATGTCTATCTTTTTTAAACCTCTGGGGTTTTGTTGTTTTGTTTTGTTTTCTTTTAGAGATGGCATTAGCTTGGTGCAGAAGGGCAGTGAACAAACCCTTTTACTCCCCTGAGTCTCTGGTTGCTTACCTGTAGCACAGTGATAATACTACCAGCCTCTCTTGCTGCCTGGGGTATTGACCATAGAAAACTCAAGGCAGTTTTTTTTTTTATAAAATACAAGAAAAGGATTATAACTCAGTAGAAGAATGGGCAAGAGACACAAACAATACTCAGAAAAAGAAACAGAAAATGTCAAAAAACAAAAGCAATTCAACCTTAGTTTGACAATGCCTCCTAGACTGAGTAACTTCTGCACTTACAAACACAGCAATCTTCAGTAAAAAAAAAAAAAAAAAAAAAAAAAAAATCTCCCAAATAGGCCTAATCTCAGGTGGTCTGTAAGAGACACCCTGAGTTCCAACCCTAATCCTCACATGGCCCCTTTTCTGCTCCAAGATGAAAGAAACTATTGTGAAGCAGAAGAAATTCACCAAACTGCAGCCCAGGTGTGCATTGCTGGGAAAGCTACTGCTTGCAGAAAGGTGGTTTTGAGCCCTCCCTGGTGGCACAACACGTTAAAGCACAGCACCAGGAAGCTAGCTGCAGCTGCAGGTGCTTCAGCACCAGTTCCATTCCCACCAGAGAGGTGACCCACATAGTGCAGCAGACCTCACTCAGCAGTGTACTTTGTCAATCTGCCTACTATACTCTCCACTCTGTCTCTGACCTACACCCCAGTTTGATATGCATAAATAAATAAATCTTAAAAAGAAAGAAAGAAAGAAAGAAGGTGGTTTGCAGAATAGTCAGGCAGATGATTTAAAAACAAACAAAAACTTCAGTTCTCCTTAAAGAAATTAGGAGTAAACAGCATCTCTGGTATTCAAGAAGTGACTATGTCCACAGACCAAGGAACAATGATTCATTTTAACATCCCTAAGGTTCAGATGTCTCTGGCAGCAAACACTGTCAGTATTATTGGCAAGCATCTTATACCAGCGCGATGTAGACAGTGTGACTATTCTAAGGAGACTAGCATTGCCCCAACAATCTGTGGATAGAAAAGTATCAATTGCTACTAGAGAAGAGGATAAGGATGAAGTTCTGGATCTTATGAAGAAATTTGATGAGGCTTCCAAGAATGAAGCAAACTAAATTTTGAATTTCCAAAGCAACTTTGGAAGAAGAAAAACCTTGAAGTTACTGGCAGCTGATAAATTATGACTGCTTTTTAAATTTTTATTTATGGATTCAATAAAATCTTAATCTCTACTATTTTTAAGTCTTAGTCCCTTGTAACCGCAGTTCTTTTCAGTTTTTGCCTATATACAGCTCATTCTTTGCAGTTAATTAAACTTAAGAAGCTTGGGAATAATGTTTGTATCAAAGGTTAATATAGTTGACTAATACTCAGCTTTATTTTTATTTCATTAACACTGATTTGTACATAGAAAGCAAAGTTGTTTATAGAAAGCTAATCACGACATGTAACATGACAGATAATCTTGGATGTAATTTGATGAAAGATTCTAAATGCCCAAAAATATATTTATCAAGATGCCATTATTATAAAACTAAAAACAACTAAAATGAAAATATGTGATTTGAAGGAATATACAGATGCAATAAAACTACAAAAAAAAATTATGTTCGGGGGCCCTCCCTGGTGGCACAGCGGGTTAAAGCACAACACTGAGAAGCTAAAGCCATTTCCCCAAAAGTTCGATCCCCGCCTGCCCCGGAGGTGACCACATGGCGAGGCAGACCTCTTCTGACCTGCCCGCTGCTCCCCTCAGCAGTGTACTTCGTCCATCTGCCTGTTCTGTTCCCCACTCTGTGTCTGGTGAATCCTCTCACTGTCCCTGCACATCTGGCCTGTACCCCAGCTCTGTATGCATAAATAAATAAATCTTTTTAAAAAATTATGTTTGGAATACTGAACATAGGATTTGTGGTGACTGTTATGTCCAGGGAGGACATAATTGAATGGAGGGAGATCTATACTGAGATGTAGGTCATTATAAAAGTCTTAGTTTTTTTTTTTAATTGTATGAGGGGTTTTTGTTTTTATATTATTTTCTTCTTTTTTTTTTTGGAGCCAATTAAGTAATTCATGAGAGTGTATCATGAACACACACTATAAATAATCCAATTGTATGCTCTTGAGATATAAGGATATAGGAGACAAAACAATCTCGGGTCATTTCTATTTTTCTTCAGAATGAAGTCAGAAGCTCCCTGAGATACCTTTTCCATGAGCTCCTTCATTGCTCCTTTAGATCCTCTCATTCCTCATGCTTTTACCTCTTAAGTATCCCAGCCTATCACTGGTTTGTGATTGTCACAAACTTCCATCTTGATTTCCCTAATCATACTGGGCCACCAGGAATATTGCTACCCAGTAATTGTTTTAATTCCCCTTTAATGAATGAGGAGCTTGGGGCCCAAAGAAAGAGTCAGCTGCTGAGGGTCAGCTGGTATATCTGTGAAAGAGCTTGCACTAGGCCTGACTAAATTCCCCGCTCAGTGCTCCTATCGCTACCCTGGGATCTAGTGCTTCCAGCCCCCAACTAGGGGAACCACCTGAAGATTAAAAACACTCAGACTCCCGTGCCTGAAAGATGACTCTGTCTCATCATGAATGAGAAGGACATGAGGGTGGGAAGAATCAAGAGGTGCTGGAAGTAGTCAAGCCACCCTGGGTGAGCATTCTTGGGACAGGGTGGAGGCCCAGCCCAGATCCTTCAACACCCTCCCTTCCTTCCCACCAAGGGGCTTCCTGAACCAAAGGCCCAGCCAAACCACCTTAACACCAAGCTGCAAGGCACTGGGGCCTGTGATCTGAGTCTCTGCTCCTCTCTATCAGTCTTATCTGCAATATGGGAATAACAACTTCTACCCCAGCAGTGATGTGAAGACAAAAAATTATAAGCTTTCAAGGAGTTTGGAAAAGTACAAATTTCAGATAATAGGGATCATCATTATTGGGGAGAACAAGGAGGGTGTCCCTCCATGCCAAAACTTTCCCAAAAGAGTATAAAGAAAAAACTCAAGAGGAATGAATCTGACTTTAAATAGAGTCACAAAGATGCACCCTTGGAGAGACCTAGGACCCACTCCTCATTTTTCAGATGAGGCTGCTGAGGCCCAGGTAGTACAGGGATTTACCCAAAGTCACATGGCAGGGCTCTCTTCCTTGCCCATCAATTTCCCAGTGAAGAAAAGTGTGTCCAACCCTCTGAAGCAGAGCTGAGTCAAAGTTGAGGTGAGGTACTCAGCTGGCCTCTACTCAAAGCGGAAATTTTCTCCCTACAATGTTTTCCCACAACTCAAGGTAAACAGCAAGCAGGGTGTGGGGTCCTAGCCTCCTTTTCCTTCTACCCACTCAGACCTGTTTGGAAGACAGGCAATACCAGAGCACCAACCATCCCACCCTTCAGCTTCAGCTCTTCCCTGTCTTTCCCATTTGGATTAAGGGTGTGTTGCTTGCAGGCCTTCCAGCCTAGTGCAATCCAGTCACCTGCTTGGGCTGAGAGGAAGTTAGAGTCAGTCCCTGCTATGTTCTGTTCCTGGAGACGGCATACCGAGGCCCAAGGAAGAGGGGGAGGAAGCCTTTGGAGGCTCAAAGGAGAAAGAACCTCCTTTTTCACCAGGGATCTGGGACCAGGGAAGGCTGTCTGGAGAAGTATGGTGTTTGAAGTTCCTAAAATCTGAATTTGTTTGAGTCATAGGAGCTGCCATTTGACTTCGACTCCTTCATGTCCCACAAAGAAAGAGCAATAATGTCTACTTCCAAGGGTGGTTGGAGGAGTAACTAAAATAATCCATACAGTGAGACTGTTATCCATACACCTCAAGAGCGCCACAGACTCCTTCCCTGGGCCTGTAGTGTGGGGCGACAAGGGCCCGCAGGTGGGAAAATCCGGCCGGGAGAGGGAGCAAGAGCCGCGCGCCCAGGAGCACGGCGGGAGGAGGGAAGGGCGCAGGGCGGAGCTTCGAGGCGAAGAGGCGTCGAGAAGGCGGGGCCAGCGGGAGGCGTGGCTGGGGTAGGCAGCCGGGTACCAGGGGGCTGAGGGGGCGTGATCACAAAGGGTAGGGCTTCTGAAGCCCAGTGGGATGGGTTAGCGGGCGGTCCAGAGCTGGACCCGCCACAGAGATGGGAGGGGAGCGAGAGGCCCGACAGAGTCTCGGGTACAGCGGGTTTCGCCGCGAGGGGCGGGGCAAGGGGCGTGTCCTGGGCGGGACACCCGCCCCGAGCCCGCGGCTCCCCCTGGTGGTGAGTCCCGCCTATTTCCTGGCTGGGAGTGTTTTTGCGTCGTGTACCTGTGTATGCTCGAGTTTGTGGGTCTGAGGTTGCCATGTTGGGACCCTTTGGGCAGGAGGTGTTTCTGCACTACTGCAGCAGATCCACAGTGGCTCTAAGTCCGCCACACTCAGAACTTGCTTGTGTCCGAGAGTCAGCCCCAGGGGTGGAGAGCTTAGCCCGCTGGACTCCCGGGGGGCTTAACTGGAGTCGCCCAGTTCTGCATGTGCTCAAGCCGACCGATTTCTCCTTCGGCTCCTCCCCAACTTCCTCCGCTCCCTCCCCCCAATTCCCAGCCTTGCGCGCGCCCGGAGCCCACCCCCTCTTTTGGGCGCAAGGCCCCGCCCCCCGCCCCCTTTCCTCTGCCACAAAGTTTATTTGCAACAAAAGGGAGCTAGAAGCAGCCAAGAGGGAGGGAGCCGGAGCCGGAGCCGGAGCGGGAGTGAGAGGGGAGGCGGCGGGCCGGCGGGCGGGCGCCGAGACGTGGAACCGAGCGCTGGGATTCTGCCTAGACCTGGCCTAGCCGCGATGCTCCGGGTCGCACCGGCTGAGACAGGGGCCGGGCGCTGGGGTCGGCGCTGAGGCGGGAGGGGCCGCATGGGATGGAGCCTCTGGCGCCCGCAACCGCAGAAACTTGAACCGTGGCAGATAAACCTCTGCTCCGGCCTCTGCGCCCTCTCGCAGCAAACCGCATCGCGTTGTGGCTTTAGGACCCAGGCCTCCGGACCCGGGCCGCTGCGCTCCTTCGGGGCGGGGGCGCAGGGGGGGGTTGGCCGCGGCTCCCCGAGGCCAGCCCCCCCGGAGTGAGTGCCGCTACCATGGCGGACGGGGCGCCCCGGCTCCCCCTCTATCGCAGCGTCTCGTTTAAGCTGTTGGAGCGCTGGAGCGGCGGGCCCGGGCCGAAGGAGGAGGCCACGGACACCCCCGGGCTGCGGCGCCGCGCCTCGTGCCGGCCGGCAGCGGCCGTCTCGGGCCAGCCCTCCCGGCGCGTGTCCAAGCTAGCGTCGGGGCCCCCGGTCGCCCCCGCGCAGCCGCGCCCGCTCCGCAGCCTCTCGCCGTCGGTGCGCCAGCTCTCCCGGCGCTTCGACGCGCAGCGTGTGGACGACGAGCCTTCAGGGGCCCGAGACGGCTGCATCTCCCCGGGGGCCGCCGAAGAAGCGGCCGAGGGTGCTGCGCGCGGGGCCTGGCCCAGCGTTACCGAGATGCGCAAGCTGTTCGGTGGCCCTGGCTCAAAGCGACCTAGTGCCGACTCTGAGGCCTCGGGGACGCCCTGCCCAGACGGTGCCGCCTGGGAGCCCCTGTCTCGCGAACCCCGACAGCCACCGACGCCACCTCCTCGGACGTGCTTTCCCCTGGCTGGCCTGCGTTCGGCGCGGCCGCTGCCGGGCCCTGGGACTGAGGGGAAGAGGTGGCGGCAGCAGCAGCAGCAACAGGAGCGGGGGCAGCGTCCGGCGGATGGTTTACATTCTTGGCATAGCTTCTCCCAACCGCAGCCCGGGGCCCGGGCCTCCTGCTCCTCCTCCTCCTCCATCGCCTCCTCCTATCCTGTCAGCCGCAACCGGGCTGCCAGCTCCAGCGAGGAGGAAGAGGAGGGCCCGCAACCTCCGACAGGAGCGCAGAGTTCGGCCTACCGCGGCAGCCACTCCTCAGGCAGTGAGGAGGACCAAGACGGTGAGGGAGGCCATCCCTGGGGAGGGAGGCTGGGGCCCAGGCCTGGAAGCTCTCTCTTGGATCAGGACTGTAGACCGGACAATTATGGGTTAAATCTGGGCAGCATGGACCCGGCAGGGGAAACCAGAAGCCCAGATCCCCCAACATCTCCGGGAGCCCCTAGTGAGGAAGGACCTCGGAATCCGGGTACCGGCTCACCTCCTTTTGTACCAGGTCCCCAGGAGGGGCTTAGGCCCTTGTCTGACGCAGTGGGGGGAGCTTTCCGGGTGGCCAAGGTGAGCTTTCCTGCATATTTGGCCAGCCCTTCAGGCTCCCGAGGTAGCAGCCGTTATTCCAGCACAGAGACTCTCAAGGATGAGGACCTGTGGGCCAGCCGAGCTTCTGGGGGCTGGGGTGTGTATCGTTCCCCCAGCTTTGGAACTGGGGAAGGGCTCCTCGTAAGGCCACAGGCTCGGACTCGCAGCAAGGGACCCTTGGGCACCACCAGAGCATTGAGAGATGGAGGGCTGGAGTTGGACAAGAATAGACAACGCAAATCCCTGTCGAATCCAGATATCGCCTCAGAGACCCTTACACTGCTCAGTTTCCTGCGCTCAGACCTTTCAGAGCTGAGAGTCCGAAAGATTGGTGGGAACTCCGGGGTCCCTGGGAGTGCCTCCTCAGATGACAGAGACTCACCATCGGCAGGAAGCCCAGTGGGGCAACTTGGGCCCACGCCTCCCCCAGCTCCAGCATCACCTGGCACCCGCCCCACACTCAAGGACTTGACAGCCACCCTGCGGAGGGCGAAGTCCTTTACTTGCTCTGAGAAGCCCATAGTCCGACGCCTACCCCGCACCAGTGCCCTGAAGCCCAGCAATTCTGAGCTCCTGCTGGCAGGCCCAGGTGCCGAGGAGGACCCACTGCCCCATGTCGTCCAAGATCAGTATGTGCAAGAGGCCCGTCAGGTTTTTGAGAAGATCCAGCGCATGGGTGCCCAGCAGGATGATGGAAGTGATGTTCCCCCTGGAAGCCTTGATTGGGCTGGAGATGTGACCCAAGGGCAGCAGTCCCAGGAGGAGCTCTCTGGCCAGGAGTCCAGCCTGACGGATGAGGGCATTGGGGCGGACCCTGAGCCTCCCGTTTCAGTCATCTGCAGCCTGGGTACCACAGGAGTATGGCGACCCCTTTCCTCATCCTCAGCCCACACCAACCACTATGGCCCTGGGGCTGAAGACAGTCTGAGCGGGTGGTCCCTGGTGTCTCCTGATACTCCTCCCACGCCAGGTGCCCTCCGCCGAAGACGCAAAGTTCCACCTTCAGGTCCTGGTGGGACTGAACTGAGCAATGGGGAGGCAGGTGAAGCCTACAGGTCACTGAGTGACCCAATTCCCCAGCGCCATCGTGCTGCTACCTCTGAGGAGCCCTCTGGGTTCTCTGTGGATAGCAACCTCTTGGGCTCGCTGAACCCCAAGACAGGACTTCCAGCAGCCACAGCTGTTGATGAAGGTTTGACCAGTGGCCACAGTGACTGGTCTGTGGGCAGTGAGGAGAGCAAGGGATACCAGGAGGTTATTCAGAGCATTGTTCAGGGGCCTGGTGCCTTGGGCCGAGTGGTGGACGACAGAGTTGCTGGCAAAGCCCCAAAGAAGAAATCTCTGAGTGACCCCAGCCGCCGTGGGGAGCTCGCTGGGCCAGGATTCGAGGGACCAGGTGGGGAGCCCATCCGAGAGGTGGAGCCCATGCTGCCTCCATCCAGCAGTGAACCCATCCTTGCAGAGCGGCAGGCAGAGCTAGAAGAGCCCAGTCCCTCCAGGGGCCGGGCACAGTCTGAGAAGGCCCTACCCGAGGCCCCTCCCCCACCCTCCACTGCCCACCATGACTTCCATCTTGACCCTAAACTGACTGACGTTCTGTCCCCGAGGCTCCTCCGCCGTGGTTCCAAGAAGCGCCCAGCCCGGAGCAGTCATCAGGAGCTGCAGAGAGAAGAGGGCCATCAGGACCAGTCTGGAAGCCTCGCTCATGCCCGACCCTCCAAACACGTTCGCCATGCCAGTGTGCCCGCCACCTTCATGCCGATCGTGGTGCCTGAGCCACCGACTTCCCTCGGCCCCCCTGTGGCTGTGCCAGAGCCCATGGGCTTCCCTGCCAGGACCCGTTCCATGTTGCAGGCGCCGTCACTTGAGGACGTCACTAAGCAGTACATGCTGACCCTCCCTTCTGGCGAGGTTCCCACCCCAGTGCCAGTGGATGTGCCCTCTTTGACTCCAGTTGCACCACCCTCTTCTGAGGCCAAGCGTCCTGAGGCAGCCTGTGCTCCAGATGAGCCTGCCCCAACCAGCAAATGCTGCAGCAAGCCACAAGTGGTGAGTCTTTTGTGGGGCCCTTCAGAGCAGGGCTGCAGGAGGGCCATGGGCAGAGACTTCTGCAGGACCCTTTGCGTGTGTGCTCACTGGGCAGGTGTCCAGACCTGACGGTGCTTACTTCTCTGATCCTGGAAGTGCCAGGCAATTCTAGGAGTGTTAATGACAAGGTTCCCCTGTCTCCAGACCCCAGAGACCTCAGCTTCTGCTGCTGCTAATGTCAAAGGTTTTTAGTGGACCCCAAGGTGTTCTCTTGATAATTACAAAGGGTTCTAATCGCATTTGTTAGATGTTTCTCAGGGACTGGGCCTTTGTTATGACTACCCAACGGAGTGTGAGAGTGGGAACTTTCTCTGAGCTGTGCTGCCCTCTGGCTAGATCCCTTGAAGGGTGTTTAGGCTTGGGTTCCACAGTTGATGTGAATTTGCCCTTCATGTGACTTTCTGGTGGCAGATCTGTCTTCCTGGGCCTGGGAGAACTTGGGGGGGCAGTAGTAGAGAGGGCCCCGTGAAGTACAGTGGTGGCCCTGGCCTTTCTCATGACTTGGCTCCACATCTAAAGTCAGGGTGGTGTGGACAGAGCAGTGCCTGTGTCTCCATCCAGATGAGGCTGTGCAGATTTGGGGGAGGAGGGAGAGTCTTTGGTTGGAGTTGGGGCATTTGGGGCCTTGATGTTTACTTGAGCTTCTTCTGCTTAGCATGGGGGCCTTCAGGAGAAGATAGTCAGGGAGAGGCTATTGAAGCTCAGCAGCCAGGGACTTTTAGAGCGGCTGTGAGCTGTTCTGGCCTCTAGCTGCCAGCGCTGCCACCTCACCCAACCCCAGACCCCGCTGTCTGCCAGCCCCCAGGCCCTGGAAGCCTTGCACTCCATAGCACCCCCACTTCTGCCTTCTGGCTTCAGCCTTTGCTGTAGTTTTGGCCATGGGTTCAGATGGTTCTAGGCTGCGTGGTTCTCCAGCATCCTCATTCAAAGCTAGATTCTAGGCCCCAGGTCTAGAGCTGAGGTGGCCTGAGGTTATTTCATTTGTGGCCTGTACTCCCACTGCCTGAGCGAGGAGCCTGGAAATCCTAAACTCTGGACTAATTTGGTCACTCCCTGTTTCCAGCACTCTCACGCCCCTCTGAACTCTCTCTTTGTTTCTCTCTCCAGTCTCTATTCCCTATCCCGGCTCTGGTGTTCTTGCCTGGAGGCCACAGATCAGAGAGCAGGGAGTGAGAGAGGGGAAATTATGGATCTGTTCTTCCTTCTGAGAGCTCGGTAGACAGCTCAGGTTCCCCTGACTCCAGTGCCAGTTCTGTTTTTGTAACGTGTGGATAGAGGCAAGAGCACAGCCCCCCCTCTCCAGCTGCCTTTCCTGTGTAATTATCTTCTCTGGGAACCTTGAAGACTAAGTTAGGGGAGAAGATGAGTGAATCAAGGGACTTAAGGAAACGGAACTGGGTTGTGTGGGGGGAGTTGGTGGGTGTGGATAATGCGCCTTAAAAGAGGCATTGAGACCCAGAGAGAAGTGGGAATTCTTGCAGAATTGGTCTTCAGCCGCCTCCCTCATTTCCCCCATCCCCGTGAGGTGGGACATATCTGCCCATAACATAGTCCGCTTCTTATCCTCAATGGAGGCTTTCTCAGATTTCTCGTTGCCCACCATGGTCCTTTTTTCTGGGCCCAGCTTGATGTAGCTCCCTCACCCCTTAAAGGAGAGACCGGCAACCTGCTCTTCCACTGTACAGATGGAAACACTAAAGTCCAAGACCAGTCTGTCCATATCTCGGTGTGAGTCAAAGACTGAGCCAGGCCGGGTACTGTCACCAGTAGAACAGGCTTCAGACCTCAACTTCAGCCCCTGTGTGACCCGGGATTAGTCACACCCTTTCACTATGCCCGTCCCTAAAATGGGGGGCTTGGTCTCTCCCTGGTAGGCTCTTGTAGAGGTGGGCAGTGTGATCATTTCCTCCCCGAAGGCAGGAGAGAGGGGGAAGGGTCCACTGCCCCAGCTGCTTCTCTGTGGCTAGCCTGGGCTCTGCCCCTACCTCCTGCTCATTTCTGAGCACAGGTCTGGACTCTCTGGATCCTCAGTGTAACCGGGTAGACTTGAATAGACTCAAAAAAGATTCATCACCCCCCAACTCTCCTCCCCTTCATAAAGCCTGGAAGTTCTCCCATCTGCTAGCTTGAATCCCTCCTGCTACCCTCTTTCTTCTGGTTCTAGGAAAATGGGGAGCTGCTCTCCACCCCACCCCCCACCCAATTAGCCTTCATAGAGGAGACAATGGCCCCTTGTTTCAGGCCTGGGACTCCAGTCACGCTCCCTGGGTCGTGTGTGGAGATGTGGCCTTCTAAATAAGAAGACAAGCAAAAACGCTGTCAAGATTTGCTAATGAGGCAGAAACCAGAGTGGACCCAGCTAGGGGCTGAGAGGAGACGCTCCTGGGGCAGAGGGAACCCCTCACCTGGCTGCCTCTCCATATGTGCCCTCTGCATCATGGTTGGGAGGCAGAAGGCCTGGATACCAGGTCTGGCTCTTCCTCTGGCTCACTCAGACCTGGGCAGAGTCATCTTGGATCTGGTGTTCCCATCTATATAGTGGGAGAGTCCACTGCCTGGCTGGTCAGTGAGGCTCTGTAGGAAGGACTCAGCCTGCATGGTGGCCAAGGGAAACAGGAAGACTGGAGTATGGCTGGACGAGAGGCAGCTCTAGACCACAGCTGTAAGAACTAAGAGCTCAGGAGAGGAGAAGTACCGTGGTAGCTTCGCTCTGTGAACACCCCCTTGCATCTGTCCAGGAAGGGGTAGGCAGAGCCTGGGAGCCTCCCTGCCCAAACCCCCCACGCCCTTTGTCATGTGCACTTGAACCCACAGTAGCCTGGATGGTCAGTGACATTCGACTCCTGGGCTTTTCCCACCTGAGCCTTAAAGTACAGAATCTTGGGGTTCAAGCTTTTACTGTCAGGTACCTGAAAACCACTTGACAGTTGTGATAACTGGAGCTTAGAAACAGGAAGTGACTTGCATCTCAGAACCATAGATGAACTCGGAACTTTAACGTACTGGAACAGCAATAACAGTGGCTAACATTTACTAAGTGCCTGCCATATGCCAGATGCTCTGAATGTTTCATTCTTCAAATGTGAAAACTCTGAGACTCTTGCAGTGCTGAATTCTTAGACTTGCAGATAGTTAGATTCATTGGAATCCTAGAATGTTTGTTAGAGGTGTCTTAGAGGTCAAGGGGCCCAAAAGGTCCCTATTTCTGGGTGGGATTGGCCGCCCTCTGAGTAGGAAAACAGGGTCTGGGGGATGTTGGGAGCATCACCTATACACCCCAGTTAGCCTGAGCACCATCATAGTGGTTGATTAATTGTCCAGGGCCTGGGTTGGGGTAGGAGGCACTTCGGGACTCTGAAAGGGAGAATGCTGAGCCTAAGGTCACAAAAGAAAGCAAGGCAGAGACAGGCCCAAGCTCGGACCCTTGCCTTGCCCCCCCAGCCCCTGCTCCCAATAATGATGCTCCCTCCCTCTACACACACCCCCAACACACGCACTCTTCCCAGTCTACCCACTCAGCTCACTGCATTGCTGAGGAAGCCCGGGCACTTTGTCACCTTTCTTTTGTCTCCCCTTGGCAGGGAACCCACAGAGTGGGGGCTCTCTCCTTTCTCTCCTTGGCTCTTTGCTGTGATTTTTCCATGGAAACTGGTTCTGGGAGGAGAGGCAATTAGGACATTTGGAATTCTGAGTGGTACCAAATATCTATAATTAAATGTCTTGTCACCCAGCAGGAGAAGGGTGGGGTGGGGGAGGACAGGCGGAGGGCTATCCCTTTCCTCTGTTCCCTGAGTCTCCCAACCCCCTCTTCCTTAGGGCCCTGGGCTATGGGGGGACATGGGGCGGGGAAAGAGTGGTCCAAGAATGAATCCACCCCACCACCAGCAGGGAAGAGTTGGGGGATGGACCAGAGTTGAGTCTGACATTTTCCAACCCCACATTTCCGGGACCAGCTGGGTTTGGGAGGCTGTGAAGCTGCTGCTAATCCTGTCCCCAGCCCCCCCCATCCTGTGTAGGGACTTGGCCCTCCTCTTCCCTCCCTCCCATCTGTGATCTCTCAGTCTACACATGCCTCCCCAAAGTGGAGTCTCCCCAGGCAGCCACAGACACTCAGCCAGAGCCTTAAGAATCCAGAAGCAGACTGGAAGGGGCTATAGGGTGCTGAGGGGCTGGCCTGGAGTCTGGCCTTGAAAACTGGAAGAGTTCTAATAGCCAGGAAAGATGGGAGGGATCCTAGTTGGAGGTCACAGCATGGACATGAGCTAAGAGGTGGGAAAGAACATGGCCAGTTGGGTGCAGCAGGAGTTGTCGTCAAGGGTGATCCTTGATGGCGTAATGCATTCATCCAGTTAGCACATAGTCACTGAGCTGCTAGATGTGTCAGGTACAAAACAGCAAACAAAACATTGGCCTTCCCTCATGTCTTCCAGATGAGTATGGAGACCTATGAATGGGTTATATGTCAGGGAGAGGTATGGGTGGAGAGAAAAAGCAGTATAAGAGAGTAGATCATGATGGGGAGAGGTCTGGGAAGACCTAGTGAGGCGGTCAGATCTGAGGAGAGACCTGGAGAAAGCTTGAGAGTAAGCCAGGTGGCTAACTGGGGGTGTGGGGGGAGCATTCTGGGGAGGGGAATGGCAAGTGCAAAGACCCTGAGGTAGGAGATGGGAGCAGATAGGTAAGGAAGGGTGGAAGAGGGGCCAGGTGCCAACAGAAGGGCTTTAGTATTTACTTGAGGTGAGATGGAGCATCGGCTATTGAGAGGTTCTGAGTAGAGCAGTGACTTGATCTGACTTAGGCTTTCCCAGGTCTAGTCTTAGAACTCTGGGGCAAGGGATGGGGAGGGGTAGATTGCAGGGGCTCAGGAAGGACTCAGCAAAGGCCACAAGTCACTTGGGCAAAGACTGATGGTGACTTGAGCTGGGATTGGGAGGTGAGGGTGGGTCTCTGGAATAGCCCTG